GAGAAAGAACTTTATCTACTGAATAGTAATAGGGTTAACATGAAGATTTTCAAGCTCCTGAACAATAATATTGTAGCTAACCAAGTCAAAGCCTTTCCTAAAATCAGCAAAGAAACGTCTTATCGCACAGTGACTGACATATGTCTAACATATGGTCTAACCCAGCCAGAATTTTGTGGAAAAGGTACATCTTTCAAGTTTACTAAACACCAATCTACAATGAATTTTTCTCTTGTTGGAACATCAGTAATTTGGCGCAAGCCAAATAGTCTTTTTTTAAATACGATTCTCCTTCAATCCAGTAAAATCACCGGTAAAATCACCGGTAACCATAACAAGAGCTTCTGGATGTTTACAAAGATATGTGTCAACATTAGATTGAATATGTTCAATCAAATCATTATTCTCGGAGGCACTTGCTGAGGGGGGGGGGAGGGGAGGGGGGGGGTAAATAACAGCAAGGAGTGTAACTGAAATTTATCTTGGAAGACGATTTGGTCGAAGTGAAATAGCGATTCAATAGATAGGTATTCAAATTCCTGGATTCATTTACTTTTGTATATTCTTATCAAGTCATTCTTGACATTCTTGTAGCAATGCTCCTACTTTGTTTATTTTACTTGGTCTATAATCAACTCCAGGTGATTTTACTTGTGAGGAGGAGACCATTGCACCTCATGTGTAAATGAAAACTATTTTAATTACAGCTGTTTTTCGTATGTCACATGATACCAAATAATTCAGTAAAATATATGCAATCCCTCCTCCATCACTCAAAAATTCTTACATCCCTCCTAAAATATTTGCTCAGAAATGTCTGCTCCCCCCACCCCCTACCACCACATTTCATACCGGCCCCCTGTATTAATAATGAACGGTCCCTTAGTCTATAAAATATAAATGACCAATGTTTGACACGCTACGAAACATTTGTCGCGACTTGAGTCGCTTTTTCGTCCAAATTAACCCACTTTTCATAATATTTTAAGATTTTAGCAGTTGTATTAACTTGTATGAGGTGCTAAATGACACAATTCGCCAGATTTACCTCTAAAATGTCTAAAACATTGCCGCGCAGAAAGCGTTATGCTAGATTCTTCATCCATATTTATGATTTGAGTTGTTTATGAGCCCGCGTTTCATAGAATACTTCAAGTAATTATGCCAAAAGATCAAAGATACCGCGGAATTCAAGATGGCGCTTAGCGGATGAAAATATCAAACTTTGGCCTTACATTGTGAAAAAACAGCGCGTTTCTGCGCGTGGGAACAAAGATATTTAAAATCAGCATAGTTTTTTCCTCCTAATTCCCGTTAAAATATTTTAGCACCGCGATGGGGGCGACGGAACTGAACGTTTTCATGCCACAGCTAACGGCCTAATGATTTGTTGTGGGATGTTGGAAATACAACTCCCTAAAAATTACAAACAGAGTTTCGTCCTTTCCAGAGAAGACCAAAACATCATTAACTTCCGACGAAGGACCTTCGCTCGAAACATCACTAACCTCCCCATGAGGGGCAATCACTCGAAACATCGAAGTTCTGTTTTAGTACTTTAAAATTTCAGCTACAGTTGCAGTATCTCCTACATAACAGCTGCTGTTTGTTATCCTCGCTACCTAGACTGGGAACAACCATGTTTAATATGTTGGCAAATTATACGCAAAAGCAACACATACCGCGGTCAAACGTCCGCGCGTATTTACTAATTCTTGTATCCAAAAGACTGGAAATAGTATTGTCGTCACGAAGCTCTAGCGAGAAGTTCAAAGAAAATTACGAGTGTTTAAACTCAGTACAACTTCGTGTTGCGGTGAAATTCCCTACCTTATAGCTTCAGGCGTTTCCTTATAGTAAAAGTTTTTCCCGTATTTTACTCCTATTATTTTGGCAGACATTTTAAAATATACTTGAGATACAATAGCTGAATTAAATATTTGAGATACAATACTGGCCATTTCAAGGCTATATAGAATTGCTTTATCATTACTTTATCATTTTTCTCAGTTACCACGAAAAAAATCACAAAATGGCGTCCTGAGACATTTTCCTGGCAAAATTTTCACTTATTTACCCACAAAATTATGGTACGACGAAGTGCCCGTGTTAGAAATAATGCCTGTGACGAGAACGGCTGTAAAAATGAGGGTTTCGATCAGAAAAATATGCAAGAAACGTTTGAGTTTCAAGTGGCTTTAAATTAGTTCTATGGAAAGAACTATATACTTTAAAAGTACTTTAAGACTCTTGAGTTAAGAGGTAGTTTAAAGTAGTTTAAAAAGAACTACTTTAAAGCTCTAAGCCTAGGTAGTATCTCAAGAGTTTTTTTCCCATTTTTCTGATCGAAACCCTGATTTATGCTGTCGTTCTCATCACAGGCTTTAATTCTAAGACAGGCACTTCTTCGTACCATAAAAAGCATTTGCTAAAAATAACTACTTTAAAGCTGAGGTTCCTTGCGAACAAGAAAGCTTCACAAAATTTCCAACGAACGACTAATAGCATTATATAAACCTACCTTCAGAATGTCGGCGGGGTCCTATGCTTTTTGTTCCTGATTTCGTTTCAATTTTGTCTATATTATTACGTCTTTTACCCCTCACGAAATCTATACATTCTTTCGGGACATCAACCGTTCTTCCATCATGATTTTCCTTTCGTTGCAAAATAAAACAAACATTTAACTTAGTTTCTTTTATATTGCACTGAAGGTTTAATTATTTTTACAAAAACTATAAAATAGAAATATGCACAAAACATAATTATGAATATAACATAGAAAAGATGAAAAACTCATAAACAATTTTAAACCATTTAAATACAGAAATATTGGGCGACCTCTCCCACCATGGGACTGTTTATTTAAAAATGTATTTACTCCTACTACAGTTCTGCGAGGTCCGTATTATCATCATTACAAAACTTACAAGAGGTCGGCTATTTTGCGAGTCTGCGAGTCAAGCAAGTCTGCGAGTCACGCGAGTTGTGCGCGCAAGTTTTGCGAGTCGTGCGAGTTTTGCGAGTCTTGTGAATTTTGATCACATGCAGCATAGCAAGTGAACCAGAGAACGCGCATGGTCATCATGGATCTTTGGTCATCCACCGAAATTAGTTATTAATTTTATGCTTCATTTCCATAAAACTGTGAAAATAGTTTGTTCGATTTAGCACAAGAAAAACGCTACTATATATAGCTTTATATTTAGTTATAAATGCGCTGAGACCTGATTGGGAAGTATTGTTTACCAATTTTCTCAACAAAAATGAAGTATTTAATAAACCCAACCTGGTTGCATTCTTTTTTCGGTAAAGTGTACAATTTCTATTGAGATCGCAGCGTTCTTCTTTGAAAAAACGAAGGCAATTTTCCAATGACATTGACAGAACACGTACAGTCACAGTACAGTATTAATTAAAGTGCGTATATATATGATATAGACACAATATATTTTATATATCTGGTTCTAGTGAGTAGTGTGTAAAAGATGATCGTTATAAATTAATACGATACGCATTGACACTGTTGTATTTCTACCGACTACAATCCTATGAACAATCTGGGGGCTGTAATGCAACTCTCTTCATTTTTCTTAATAAATTCATGATCACAAACTATATTCTTTTCTTTTGCACCAGCCCCATAACCCATTAATTCATGCGCAAAATTAATACTGAAGAACTTATTCTGCAGGTTTTTGTGTCCGTAGATGCAGCAAAATTCCCCGGTACTGGAAATTCTGAGAGAAATTTCGAATCTTTTACTTCGATGCTGCACCAATCGACCTTTTCGCCATGACGTTAAAGTGTTAAACGCGAAAACGTTTTTTGTGATGTCCCACGGGACAATTGCTAGTTGTTATTTTTCCGCGTTTCAGGACGTCATTATGAAAAAGCCTTTAGGTCTATTAATATGATGAATATAACGTAATGAATTTTTTATCATGCTTACGGTCACTGTAAATTTGCACTTATAAGGGAAGAGAAGGATAAATGGGTTGTGCATCAAAGAGATTTCATTTTCCCATTTATAAACTAACATAGAGTAGAAAGATCGAGAGAGCTGAAACGGTGAAAGACTCGCAAAACTTGCATGACTCGCATAACTCCCAGACTCGCATAATAATCTATTTCAACTGTCAGAGATTTTTGGCTTTCAACATCTTCATCAAGAACTTCGTTTAACATTTCCCTTTTATCTGTATATTCGATTTAGAAATTGTTACTTGCAGTTCATACTGTATAGTTATAATCGTTTGGCCATTCGAATTGAATGCATATTACGTAAATAGGAACAGTTATATACCTTTATTCACTATGATTATAATCCTTATTGTCTTCAAATCTTTAATTCCTTCATTAATCGTCCTTACACTTTATAATAACGCTGATTTCCAGGTCAAACGAAAAATTATTTCGGCTAATTAATATTGTAACAGTCCAGGGTTATTTTTACATTAACATAACTATGACATACATTAGAGTTAGGCAAAATATTAAAATCGTTTCTAATTTTCTGGCGGACGTGATTCGTAATTCAATCACAATGAACATAGCGGTGTCAGAATAAATTAAATAAGGAAGGCACATTTAAAGTAAATAAGCTTTGTTTTAGTAGAGCCAGTTATACTATTAGGCTGGCGATTTTTTCAAATTTTACATATATCTATATAGCGAATAGGTGAAATTAAACCTGTGAAACTGCGGCTAATAAATATATAAAGCAAATATAATTAATCATTACTAAAAATTTTTTCTGGATTTACCAATTAACGTCAAAATTTAGAAAGCTTGAATAAATCACTATCCGGCATTCGTACAACCAAATTGCCCCCATGTACTCAGTTCAGTTACCATATTGTACACGATTGTTGCGTCACTCCGTCGAATATTATACCAAAACTCTATATTTGGTCAGCTATTGAGGTGATATGACGATTTCACAGTTGGCTGTTAGTCAATCAGAAATAATGAATCTTTTAAATAAATAATAAACATACTTACTACACAACATCTTATAGCCTGTCGTGCTGCTTCACAACCAGTTGCAGACCCGGTGACTGTAAAACCAGATTCTCTTCCCAAGTTATCTCCATTACAAGAAACAATCCTTGTATCTGTCTCTCGTTTAATTTGAATTATATTTCTTCCCCTAGCTCCGATAACATTGCCCATGTACTCCTGAAGTACCGGAACAAAGATCTCCACAAATCGTGACATTTTATATTGCAATAGCTGAGGGCGAGTATTCTATGGAATAAACACACAAAAAATACTTTTGGAACTTGAAAAGTATGTAACTACAACCGGAGCGGAGTTATAAAAAAATATGTATTTGGGGAATGGCAGTTTATCTCTCTTTTATCCTATATATCATTTTTCTTCCATGAAGTTCCATGATCCACGCAATCGTGATTGACCAGTACTTCATACAAACATAATTCACGAAATATGGGGGCGGGGTGGGGGTGCAAATTTTCAACATGTATATTTTCTTAGCTCTCTTAAAATTTCAACTTTATCTCAAATTTTTAATGTTCTACAGCAGGTAACCCTTAAATTTTATGAAGTTTTGTTTTCCGAAGAACTAGTCAACCTCTATATAAGTGCTGATTAATTGTGGAAATGGTCTTGTGTTTCGCCTAAAATTTGGTGCAAGTGTGTAGCTATATTTGACGAGTTAGCTGAGATGAAATATGCCAAATGACAATTAAAAATATGGCTAACAAATGCGTTGTCCCGCATTGCAGAACTTAAACGAGGAGTGAAATGTTTTAACCAGCATGGCAGACGAACATGGTACCATATGTTTAAATGGAAAGGACATTACTGAACTTAAAGTGACCGAATTAAAGAAAGCTTTAAAGGAAACAGGTTTAAAGACCTCGGGAAAGAAGTTGGAGTTGAAAGAAAGACTCATGCAGAGCATAGAAGGCTGCGATAACAAAATGAATGAATGAATGCATGGATGTTTCTTTAGCCGAAGAGTTGTTGTCAAGAATTTGTGCCCGATCTATCTGTATTCAAACAGTTACCCCCACAATTACCGAATAAAGACGTCCACAATACTAAAGCTCCGGATTACTGTAAATTGTAACCATGAAATGGCGAAAGAACCTCTATAAAGTTCCTTCTGGGAAGGCCGGTAAAGATTTTATAAGTCTATTGTCTGGATGATTGATGAGATATAATAATGAAGATGCCTTTATGGGGGTTGCACTAAAGGTTTATATGACTTTGCCAATTATTCTTCTGCAAAAACCTTCGCCCTCTTCGAAGGCAAAAGAACTCTCTCAAGCCTTATGTCGCAGAATTGAATGGTTAAAGAATGGAAAGCTGCATCGGATTCATACTGAATCTAAAAACATTCAAGATAAATTGCGCCCTATGAAGCGTATCCTGAACTTGTCAAAAACATTTGCAAAATTACTTATGCATTGGAAAATTAATGCAACATTGCGTCTCCTTGACGAAGATTCTAATAAGATAAGATGGTTTAATAAACTCTTTGCAGTTACAGACAACTGAATTAACGAGTTATTTACATAATATTATAATAGATCTACATTAAAATTTATAAAGGCTAAAAATATTTAAAGGTAAAAAATTCTTTAGTTCTTTCTTGCCTCTGTATAAAACAACGTCCCGCGTTTTGTGTCTTAGAGGGCAATGTTTATAATTAGGATCTTCGGATTGGATGGGTAATAAGTAATGTAGTGGGTGTATGAAACTTTTCATTTTATTCATATATCTTTGGCATATAGAGACCCTTCTGTTAAATAGTGTATCTAGTTTAGCTAGTTCAAGAGCGTTGTTGTATGAGTCAGCTTCCGGAAAAATTATCCTCAAAGCTCTTTTCTGAATAGATTCTATTTTCTGAGATAGATGATCCGGAATCGATTGCCAAACAGGGATGGCATATTCCAAAATTGGGCGGATCATTGTTACATAAACTTTAACGATGCTTCTCTTCTTAACACCAACACGGACTAATATACGCAAGGCGTAGAGTCTCTTACATGCCTTGATATACATGTAATCATGCAATGTGTGTATTCCACTTAATCAATTTATACGTCGAATTTGCGTCGGATATCATAACTTGACTGAAATTCGACGCATTAAATTCGACTGAAATTCGACGTATAAACTAGGCCTCAGAAGTAAAGCAAACTTCAATGCCGCATGTTATATTTTACCGTACAAACGGCGTCCGCCGGTCTCTCACGCCACGAAAGGAATTGAATCAAATACTTATTACTTATAAACTTGAAATATACTTTATTATCTGAACATATGTGTTATAAGTTCATTGTACATGCATGTGCAGTGTAGGTATATGTACAACAGAAGTTTGGCTTCTGTTACTTTTTCATTTATGTCGTCAATAGTATATAGCCTTCAAAGCTTTACAATGGTCGCAACACCCATTGGTGTGGCTGCATTTCTTTTTCTATAATCCTTTTGAGCACTTTCACGTAAACCTGTTAGTTAATTTAAAAAATAAGCAACACTGTGGTTCTTGTCAGTTGAAATATTTTCCATTATTGTATAGCAAGTGTCAAAGTTCAATTATTGTATACTTGCCCATTGGGCAAACCATATCACGCGCCAATCCACAAAACGTCACAAGCAGAAAACTGGCGTAAGTACATGATTGTTGGCTCTCGACAGTGATTATGTAATATTATAGATGATCAAAAAATTGAACTAGTCAACAATTAAACGAGTCATCAAAGCACAAACATTGGACATTATATATTATACAGAATGTCCCCAAACTGGCCAAACTATTGAAATAACGTGTTGTTAGAATTTAAATGTCTCAGCACTCTGCTCAACTCACAAGTGCATAACTGACAAGTGTTTAAGAAGCTGCTTTAAATTCCCAAAAGCAGAAAATCGTGCGCTTTACAAAGTTATTTTAATTTCTTAATAAATCCGGAATATTTATAATATATGCACCCTGTCAATACAGGGTGTCCAAAAAAAAGTGACACTATAGAAATTATCCTATTGTTATAATTTGAATTCCCTAGCACTAAGTTGATCCCACAGGTGCATAAACTTCTGCTTCTCGAATTTAAAATAAAAAAGCAAACCGTTTATTAGTGTAATCGTTTTGCTTGACTCGGGCGTTAAAATATTTGTACAAAAGCGAAAACGTTTTAAAATGCTTAAATGTAAATACAAGTTCATGAAATTCCCAGGGGTGTAATCACGCGCGTTTAAGAGCGGCTTAAGAACAATGAGATAATTTCTATAGTATCACTTTTTTGGGGGACACCCTGTATTTTACGCATCTTTGCGTTCAGCATATACAGTAGTGCTCAAAGTAGGGTGAGGCGGTTTCTACAAAAAAACGAAAACCGACCAAAAAAACCCGAAAAAACCGAGTGAACCGGTTTTTTAAAAAAATACGTTCGAAAATCGAAACTAAGGTAAACAAGACGCCAGCTCAGGCGTTCACACTGGCCTGAAAATAACGAGATACGTGCTATGGTGCAAAAGGCAGGAATACAAATCTTAAACCGCAAGCAAATTTTATGGACTTTTTAAAAAAATAAAAGACCTTTTCGGGAGACGTAATGGAGATCGATGCACGTGCAAATCATGCCAACCTACAGAATCGATTTTCGGTTTTTCCTGACAGCGCGTTGTTTTCATGTGCGTTCCATGGGCCGCGCTAAAAATATAAATATTCTGTAAATACCGAAATAAAAGATGAAAATCTCAAGACACAAGCTTGAAAATAACACTATAAATAGTGTTTTCGATTCTGGTTCTAATAACATTATCACGAAAAAGATATGTCCAAAGGGGCCGAAGTTATGTTCGGCAAAATGTATGGCTAGTTTACATTGTTTGTTGTATTATGAAATGTGATACCATACTTGTATTAAAATTCGCGTCGAACTAATGTTATTGTAAATGAGTAGACTGTCACAAGTCGACCTCGAACGAAATGCGTTTCTTCGAGGTCGACTTGTGGCAAGTCTAGCAAATGAGAACCATGCAAATGATACAATAATGGTTCTAGTTCTTGTTGGTATTTTGAACGCACGCTTTATCTTTAGTATAGCTACCACAAAGCTTTTCGCGCGGATTATATTTCGTGGAGTACTAAATATTATATTTTGTGGTTTTCGAGTCATTACACAAAGAAAAACACATTAATTCAACACGCAAGAAACTCCAGAGTACGACACAACGTAAAATACATAGGAAACCGGAACAATTCTTTGAAAATTCTACGAAACTGTGTAAAATATAGTTTGATCACTCTGTGAAAAGCCGCCATTGCAGTTCGGAATTGTGCGCGTGCGTACAAGTGTATAGGCTAGTAAACAAAAAATGTACCACAAGCATGGCATGAGTCGGCTATTACGTACATATATACGAGCTTATTACTATACTATGTAAATCATGGAACCGAGGGAATCAATGGCATTTTGGCTTAATCGTTGCACCCTGAGCCTGCGATGAGCTAACGCAAACTCGATTTCTCGACTACGAAAAAAACAGAAAAAGGGGGATTTAAGACACTTGGCCTTACAGGCCAGTGTAAAAAGACACAACACGCTACTCAGTACTCACGCAAGACTTCGGTTTAAAAAACAATTATATTAACCCTTGCTACGAAGTATAAAAGGAACATGCAGTGTACAAGATATAATTTTTACAATAAACTATGTACAAATATTGAAATATTGCGTAAACCACTATAAGTTCTCCGCCAGGAACACAAGTTTGTCAACTTTCTCCGGTTTAAGTTGTGCTCGTGCCGGCGTGCTAACTTGCCCCGCTTTACTGAAAAGTCTCTCCGACGGCGAACTGCTTGCTTGGATGGCAAGATACCTTCTCGATAACTGGCAGAGCAACGGTAGTTCCTTTGCATTTAATTTCCACCATTGAAGTGGATCGTCATCTCCGTCTATCACTGGGAATGCCGAGATATAGCGGTCAATCTCTTTGGATAGACGGCTACGCGGGGATGCAGCGGGCGACGACGATGTTTTCTCAGATTTCTTGAGGCTCGTCAACGCTCCAAGACAACGCTTCGGTTTTTTTCGTTTCTTCCCGGTTTTTCCGGTAGTAAAATACCGATTTTTCTTCGTTTTTTTCCGTTTCTTCCCGGTTTTTCCGTTTTTTTCGGTTTTCCGGTTTTTCTCCAAAAGTAACATCGAGTAATTCGGTTTTAAAAAAAAATCGTTTTTTTCCGGTTTACCGAAAAACCGCATCACCCTAGCTCAAAGGCATTCAAATTCTAACAATACGTTATTTCAGTAGTTTTTTTTTTTTTGAACACCCTGTAGATGAAAAGCTAACATAGAAGGACCAAATAGAAAATACGCAAACTAAAGTCTCAAAAGGCATAGGCCAGGGGCGTAGGAACCGGGGGGGCAGGCCCGCAAGTTTTCCAAAGTTCCCTTTTTCCGGGACCGTGAAAAATGTCATTAAGGTTGCATGTTTTGGCCCAAAAGTGCCGGCACTATTGAAAACTTGAATTTATGTTATTTCCGGAAAATTTTTTTTATTTCCTGGAAAAATATCGTATATTCGGAAAAATGTTTGGTATATCCGGAAAAAAAATTTCATATTTAGGAAAAAATGTGATATGTCCGGAAAATTTTTTTGGTATGTCCGGAAAATATTTTAAGATGACCTCCCCCCAGTCGCCAATATTTCCGGGGAAAAATTTTATTCGAAGAGTGCCCCTCAAAGCCTGCCCACCAACATTTAGAAGCTACCTACGCCCCTGGCATAAGCATGTGATACGGAATTGTATTATCCCATTTTGATCACTGCTGTTTTGTTTGGGACAACTGCGCAGATTAACTTTTAGACAAACTGGAAAAGCTACAAAATCGAGCCGCACGTGTGATCACTGGTAAAACATATGACATAAGGTCAAGGTCGTAGCTAGACGTGACAATCGGGGGGGGCGGTGTATATTCATGTTCATGCACATACCGTAAAAACAATCGCTTTCAAATGCGATTTTAATGATTTCCAAACAGCGAACCTTTTATCAAGACATAACTTAAAGCAATTGGTCCAGGCTCCCACGAGAGGCTCGGCTATTCTAGATCTCATAATTACCAACCTATCAAACCTTTATGAAGCCCCCCAAGTTCTAGCCCCACTTGGATCCTCAGATCACAATATTGTCACATGGTCTCCTGACTTAATGAAGTCAAACCCAAGTTTGCACACCAAGTCTATTAAACGTCTGGTACGTCGATACCCTCGATCTTGTATTGACGCTTTTGGGAGATGGGCTACAAGCCAGGATTGGTTTAGTGAACTTGGGCATACAGCCACAGTTGATGATCTAACATCTTTTACATCACAATTTGTGCAAGCAATTGACCGTATATTTCCTCCTAAGTTGGTAAAATTCCACCAATCCGATAAACCTTTGGGTAACACCAGCCATTAAAACCCTCATAAGAGATCGTCAGAGAGCATTCCATAGCAGGAACAATTCCCTTTGGCTTTCACTAAGACGCAAGGTTCAATACGAAATAAGGGAAAGAAAAAAGTATTTTTATAAGAACAAAGTTCAGCACCTAAGAACCACTGACAGTCGTAGATGGTGGAAAATGGTCAACAAAATGTCCGGTAAACCTGAGAAAACAAAATCTTTCTCTTTAGAACGTAACGGGGAAACTCTGAACTACGAACAACTAGCAAGTGCCCTTAATGAATTTTACGTCTCTGTCAACGCCGATATTCCGACTTTTGATGTAAACTTACTGCCCGCATTCTTACCGGCTAACGACGCCTTTTTATCCGTTCAACCTCACGAGGTCTGTCAAAAGCTATTGGCCCTTCAACCTTATAAAGCAACAGGACCTGATAATATACCAAGTCGATTTCTAAAAGATTTTTCTCACGTGCTAGCCGATCCAGTTACCACCATTTTTAATGCATCCCTTTCCTCTAGCGTCGCCCCGAGAATTTGGAAAAAATCCAATATCATTCCAATCCCGAAGGTACAACAACCAGAATGTGAAGGTGATACTAGACCAATATCGTTGACCTCTTGCTCTCGGGAAAAAGGTTGACATTAATAATTAGTAGTTAAATTTAGAGATGAGGTGACTGCCATATATGGAATTGATTGACAGGCATGAGATAAAAGGAATGTTGTTAATTGTTATTGCATGGGGAATATATGTAACTGGGAGCGATTTGGGAAGGGATTATAATACAAAACAAAAGATAAAACGCGTAAATTTTGCTCTTATTGTGGGGATCGAACGAAAATCTACCACACTTGTACTCGTTTGTGGAATTCATATTCATGCACAAATATATTTGAACTGCCACATACCTGGCGTTGAAAAGATTCAATGAGAGTTTGAACATCTTGTTGTCCTAGGTTGTTCATTCATTTGATAGTATCATCACTAAGTACATTAATAAAGAGAGCTTTTTGAGTTTCATTTGAGAGTTCATAAAACCGAGTAATCGTCATAACAGAGTCCCATCGCTGTTTCCATATCTCAAATCCTTCAGGAGAACAGCTGCTAATGTCAAGCTTAGCAAGTTTTCCGATTTCCACCGAGATAAATGGTAGATTTACACTTGTTCCAGAGGCGCCATCGCTAGATTGTTGAGAAGACTTTTTCGGTGGCATTTAGATAAAATTACGGCCGAAAAACTCGAATAGTCGAATTTCCCTCCTTCCTTTAATCCATAGAAAACACAAGAAACATTTAACTTTCACTATGAAAGCAGGATTGATCAAGATATTTTCGAGAGAACTGTTGACTATGCCATGTTGTATTTTAGAATAATTTATTATAATTTATATCTAATTATTTACAATGTTCCTAATATATATATATTATATAAGTATAAGTATTTCATGTAACATAATGTAAAAGCAATAATACGACAGCATGGGAAATTGATACCTCTTTTTCCAGAAAGCAGTATAAATTTCCTGTGCGTAATACAAAATGACTGAAAAACAGCAAACTTCACAGGGCTATATTATCCACATTTTACAACAAAACTACGGAATATTACTAATTTTGTAATGCTCTTTCAAGCTGTGATGAAATTTTTGTCTAAACTTGTCTAGATCAAAATTTTGTTCATTAGGGAATAGGTCCATTGCAAGCTCCCATCTCCTGTTTCTGAAATTCCTCCAACTGCAAAGGAAGATGGAATATTTAACTACGGGGTTACACGTTATCCAACTTGGAACACTTTTAATGCAATTAATTGACACTGAAAAGGAAGGTGATGGAGAAAGATCATTAAGAAATTGTTAATGCTGTATTTTAGGTCGCGATCGCGTTCTATGAAGTATGCTGACGAAATTATGAGATTCATTTCATTTACAAAAGCTCTGTACTCAGAGAAAGTTGCAATCAGAGTTATCAATGGTCAATTTAAAGTAAGAGCACATTGTCCAATGCAACAAACGTATATTGAAAGGACTTTGTGGCAACAAAACACTTAAAGCTATACAAACAGGATCTTTGGCAGCTTTTGGATTGCAGGTAACTGTGGATGATTTCAACGCAGTTAGTGGCATTCAAAAAGAATCAACAGCACATACTCATGCCAGCAGACAAGATGACGAGAAAGAAATGATAAAGACATTACAACCTTTTTGCCACAAAGAAAGAAGGTGTAACAGTGGATTTCAAAAGATTACAAAAAGCCCACTTGATAAGCTTAATATCGTGGCATTAACTGAATGGTTAAATTACCACAAAAAAATATTATCAATGAACAGACATTCTGAACTGGTGATAAATGGTGAGGAGCAAGAAATTTCCAAAGACGAAACCACAGATGTCTCTGCCGTTGGGAGTGAGGACCTGTGAAAAAAGTAAGATGGCAATATTTTTCATCATTAGACATTACAACATACAGTCGAACCTCCCGTATGCAGACACCCTCGGGACCACGACCTGGTGTCCACTTACGGGAGGTGTCTGCTTATGAGAGGTTGGTTAATATTTAACTGATTACATAATTGTTGAAACATGATTCTTTTAATAATGATGTTAATATGACTATATTATTGACAGCTATTATTGCAAATTTACTATAAAAACCCCACCGTTGGCAATTGGTAAATCATCACGGGGATCAACAGAAATCAGCGGCTTATCTCATGTCAATGCTGTTAATGAAACTGTTGATGTTGTGGGTCATATACCCAAAAATATGGCACCGTACGTAAGCAAATTTTTGAAACGTGCATCTAACTCTGCAAGTGTTACAGTAAAGGGAAAACGAATAAATCGCAGGGTTGGTTACGGACTTGAGATTCTGTGCGTTTATACGTTCCGGGGCGACCAATTTTCTTTGACTTGGTTGAGGAACAAAATACGTAAGACTAGACATGCTTTGTTGGATGAGAAACTATAATGGTTCATAAAGAAAAAATTAACAGTAACTGCTAATGGTGCGACGCTACAATAACAAAAATATGGAATATTGAATTAATAGTTTCCGTATCAATTCTGTCATCAGCTCATTCTAATAACACAATATATGAAACACATATGTTTCTATTCTAATACTGTATTAAGTCAACTAGGCGGCATAATTATTAATTTAACAGAAAATAAATCAAGCGTGTCCGCTTACAAGAGGTTATGTTGGTGTTTGGGAAGGTTGTTTTGGTGTCCGCGTCCACTTACGGGAGGTGTCCGCCTAGGAGAGGTTGTAAATATAGTAATATAATAGCGTATTGGCCGGGACCCAAAAACAGTGTCCGCGTACAAGAGGTGTCCCTAAGTAGAGGTTCGACTGTATATATGAAGACCTTACTTAGCTTTTCGGTACTTGCATGTCTTAAGTTTACAAGAAAACCCTATAGTATCTAGCGGATTTATCTCGCCTAGCTAATGGCACTAAACATATTGAAAGCGGAAACATTACCTGGCATGTATCTTATGGTACTTCATCACTACCATGAATTTATAATGCCTTTTCTTGTTGAAGTTGTTATTTTAATCAGCACGACAAACGATTGTCAATGAACAGACATTCTTGAACTGGTGATAAACGATGAGAAGGAAGAAAGTTCCGAAGACGAAAACACGGATGTCTCTGCATGACGTTGAGAGTGAAGACCTGTGCAAAAAGTAAAATGGCAATGTTTTACAACATTACAACATACATACATGAAGAGCTAGGGAAAACTCTTTATATAATAACTAAAGTGAAACACGCAATTTGGTAAAATGCAATTTGGTAATAGCAAACTGGTCAATAGCCGTGTGCAGGGTAAGGCTATCCTGCACAAGGAATTAAAATGCCTTCGTGGGATTTTCGCAGGATTCTCAAAATGTCATTGTTTCACTGTAGTTATTTTATAAAACAATTACCAAATGGTTTTCCAAGCAGAATAGTGTGATCCATGCACTTGGGATGTCACTCAAGTTAATCAGAAAGCGTAAATATACACTCGCCTGTGGCTCAAGTATTTTAACGTTTTCCGAAAGTCTCACAACATCCCTCGTGCATGGATCACACAATCGTGCACTGAAAACCAAAATTCGGTATTCCTTTAATCATATCTAGCAGGTTCCTATCGTCTAACTATTGTCACTAAACATCTAGAAAATTAACATTTTTCATCATCACCACCATACGACCATGAATTTATAATGTAGTTGTATTTTCTTGTTGAAGTTATTTAGTTGCTTGAATGCTTTCAATCAGCCCATTTTTGGTACCGTTGAAGGATGTTTATATATCATCTCAGCAAAACACCGGTAAATAGCAATTTACTGAAAAGTATTCAATATGAGTCAGCAAAATTAGTTACTGGGGCTATTGCAGGAACTAGTTGAAAAAGTCTTCTCAAAGAACTTGCTTGGGAGGAGTTGAATATCAGAAGAAAAGTTCATAAGTTCATAAGTTATCTCTTTTTTACAAAATAGTTAATAATTGTGCTCCAACCTACTTAGTTGAACTTTTACCAAAGTCAATTTAATGTTAGATCTTACTAACTGGAAGTTAGTTAGTTCTCCTTTACTAACTGGAAATAATATTTGTCAATATCGATGCAGAACTGAAAAATTTTAAAAATATTTTTATCCTTCTGCGGTTTCTTTATGGAACTCTCTCGATATTGATAATTAGAAATTTGACTTCACTTGTAAATTTTAAACATAAAGTAAATAAGTTGTATCGGCCGCTACATTATGATAAATGGCTTAATTTTTCTCTTAAAAGGAGGGCTTCAGTTCTGCACACGCATTTACTATTAGGTTTCTGTGCACTAAATGATTAATTGTACAAAATTAATTGTTGTAATTCTCTGTTATGTATTTGTGGCCTGGAACGTGAGACTGTTAAGCATTATTTCTTATTATGTCCCCGTTTTGCTGTAATATTATGTCCCTGTTTTGCTCATATAACGAAAGAAACTGAAACAGATTTTAATCTCTCAACTAATGTATTTGAAGCATCTTGCTTCGAGCCCTCCACCACTCATGACGATAATGGCAAAGGAGACCAACATGAAGGGTCGAATTTTACAGACTGGCGAAAAAATATTCTGGAAAGGAAGCTTGGAGATTCTAAAAGAATTTGTACTCAAGTTCTTTAAATATCAAGGCAAATGCATTCAATGTGTTTCCTGCCAGAGATCTCCAGCGGGAAGAGCTAGCGATATTAGTACACCACATATTATTTGGTCGGGAAAAATTAACCTCCGGCGGAGTGGCAGGGCAAAAATTTCGATAACTGATCTATCAGTCCATGTGGAATTCAGGACATTTTTGAAAACAAGAACGAAATTTCACGAAATATTTTTTTAGAGTGGAAACACTATTAAACAACAACAACAACAGCAACAACAACAACATAAAAAATGTATGCAAGATGAGAATTCATTTTTAAAATCCTTAAATTTGCATGCATTGTTAAACATTCTTTAACTCTTTAAAAGCAGGCCCCTATAAACATAGTACGTGCACGTACTATGACACTTTGCCTGTTCATATCTCCTGTTTGGTGCACGCTATGTAGATGAAAATACCACCATTCGATTCAGTGAAACAATATCTCCTAATACCTATCGATAGTTTTAGTCAAATATAGTTTTAGCGAAATTGTACAACTATTTATGACCTTTTGACAGGTCAAGCGGTGTCATATTTCATTATATTAATCAATTGTCTCAAACAATGTAAGCTATCCATACCTTTCGCCGAACATAACTTCGGTCCCTTTTGAGATATCGTTTTCGCTATAGTCTTATTCGAAATAGAATCCAAAACACTATTGGAAGTGTTATTTTCAAGCTTGTAGCCTTAGTTTTTCGTCTTTTATTTCGGTATTTCAATCTGTTGCGAAACTAATGAAATCAGCGGGATATTTTTAACCGGAAATACACTTTAGATCGACCAAAACATCGCGTGTTTACATCCTAGCGCTCGGAAAACATCGGAAATCGATTCTAAAGGTCAAATTACATCCGCAGCGTGATTTTCACGTGCATTGGGCTACGGGATACTCCTTATTGGTCAATTTTACATGCAGCACGCGCGTGCGAGTAAGAACCCGATGAAACCCGATATACTAAAAAATTCCAAATAAACATTTCTACTCGCCGTATTCAAACGAAACTTTCTACATAAAAGCGCTTGAATACAAGGAATATTTCACTAATATTAACTTGTGGCGAAATCTGTAAAGTTTAGAAAATATTCAACTTTTTCTCCATATGAAAATACAGAATGTTTGGCCAAGCGGTGAGTAAATATATGATTGTTTCAGTTTGTGTATTTGTTTTGATGGCATTAGACCCCCCGATGAAAAGCTTATTTTGCTAGGATTTCAATGGTGTTCTTTGTTTTTAAGGGGGGTGAATACGCGCTGAAATATTTACGTTATAAAACAGTTAAATCAAAATGTTGCTTGCCGTGAAAAATGTCGCATGTCGAGAAAGAGTTAAACATGGAATGAATGCATTCTTAACCATAACAAGACGCCTGCTCAGGCGTTCACACTGGCCTGACAATGACAACTTTCGTGGTAGAGTGTAATGTGTAGTAGAGAAGTAGATAGGGACAGAGGAGGTCTGGACCATATAAATACAACCAATAAATACAATCATAATCAGCAACTATCAACCATAATATACCAAGACGCCAACTCAGGCAGGGGCAGAGCTACCCCCCCCCCCCCACTTGTCAGCTAATCGGCAAATTGTTATCTCAGTCGGCAAAACTGGATTGGCTAAAGATAACCACTGAAGAAACCAAATTTGACCTCCTGAATAATTGAATTCAAACCGAATATCACGAATAGCATGCATCAAAGAAACCACACATGCTAGTCCAAACTTCTGGCAGCTAGTCCAAAAACATAATAATATTATTGAAATCATAATTAGGTAATTAAATTTGTTTGGTGGTTGTTGTTGTTGTTGTTGTTGCTTATTATACTGTTCTATAAAGAGGCAATAAAGTCTGTTTTCCACTAGCGAATTTTCTCGCACGAAGCGACCTTTTTCCTTTGTCGGTATCACTTATTACGTCAGCAAGACGTGGCAAAATCAGTCCTCGAAAACGAGGTTGGCATTCGGCTAAATGCAAATTTTTGCCCACCTTAATTCAACCAAAGTAGTAATTTTTTATGCTGATAGCTTTTAAAATGTCAGCGAATTCGATTAACTGAACACACTACGGTGTAAGGTTTAAAAACTGACGGGTATTGTGTATATATGTTAGATGTTTGAAGATCAAATTTCGCGCATCTGGAGTTAAAATTTGGCTCCAACTTTCGAATTTTCCAGCTGGAGGTAAACGTTCCAGTTATATTCCGATTTCAATGATTCGTAAATGCGTGATTAATATTG